GAGAGAGAGAGAGAGAGAGAGAGAGAGAGAGAGAGAGAGAGAGAGAGATGTAGAACCAATCTTTCGCGTATTTTCACCACCGGCAAAATTAATTACACACTTAAACATGACACGTCACGTCTGTGAAGGTGATGTACCTCTACTATCTGCTGGGCTACAACATTTTGGCGGCAGACGAGAACCTGGCAGACCTGGAACTGGACAAGACGAGCTCCCAGAATGACGCCAACGGAGACAAGATACGCTTGACGTCAGCACAGCTGAGGCGACGTCGGCGGAGCGCATTTTTCTCTCGAAGCGTTTTGTTCAATTACGTCACAGAAGATGTTCAAAGCAAGGTACAATGACTGGGTGAAATAGCTCCTGAGTAAAACTTATTGTTCTTTGCACCTAACACTCTCACTAAAGTCAAAGGTAGAACTTTAGAGTTAAGTTGTTATTTCTGTATCTAGTTCTTCTTGTCATTATGTTACCTTCAATTCAGTTGGTATGTTATCATCTGTATACATTAATACAGAGAGAATAATAGTATCTTTAGATTAAATCAAATTGTTAATTTTTTCATTGTAACGTGCACATCATGGTTTCTGAGTCGTCTTACCCTTTTTGTCTGATCTTTCCTGTACACAAAATAGGTATTGTCTCTTTAGAGCCATGCATACGTTCTGCTTTGCCATTATTAAAAAAATATTAAAAAAGAAGGAAAAGAGAAAGTAAGAAGAAACGTTAAAAAACCACTCTGAGGATTTTTTTAAAATGTGTGCCTCAGACTGAACCAGTGACCAGGTATGAACTTCCACAATTTGAGGAGTTGACCCCTCCACCTGAGTGAAGTAAACCCGCACCTTTAAAGAATGGTTTAGGTTATTTGCCGTTGCTCTCGCTAGACTGGAGATCAATTGGTCGCTTTTTAAGACAAGTAGGCTAACCCAGATTTTGGGGGATTCCAGAGACCTTGATCTACACTAAAAGTGGGCGTTGCCCTACCGATAGAAGAAGTTTGGTTTCATTGGTGTGTATATTAGTTTGGTTATAGAGAAAACTGTCCTTGTCTTTTAAAGAAACTGAACAAGGGGCAAAAACTTTACCATCGATTTTCTCAAAACAGCATTTTCGGGATAGCCCCCTTGTGCTTTAAAGCCACCAATTATTGCTATGGAGACAAGTTATCCTCTCGAAAATCTCTGTCTTTCAGCTGTAAAGCGAGGATTTAACTGTCTCTGAAGCTCATTTCGCTGCGCATTTATAATTCAGGGCCGCTGTTTCCATAGCAACGGTTATGTCCCCCCTCCCCATTCCCTGTATTTCTTTTGCAAATCTTTCTTAATGGTACTGGGACGTTTCATAGCAAAATAGCTAGAAATGAGCAAGGCGGACGAATCAGGAGCATCTCTTTATAACGCAAAAGGAGCAGATGTCCTATTATTTATCTACGTCGTTTGATCTCAGGCTGAAAACACCTACATCTTGACCTTGGATGGTGACGTAGACTTCCGGCCTGAAGCAGTGCGTTTATTGGTGGACAGGATGAAGAAAAACAAAAAGGTCGGGGCAGCTTGCGGAAGGATTCATCCCATTGGATCAGGTGATCTTTGACATGATATTTAAGTTTGTTTGCTTCATAACCGAGAACGTTGTTCTGTTTGTTTTGTTCTATTTCTTGTTGTTGTTGTTGTTGTTGTCGTCGTCGTCATCGCCGTCGTTGTTGTTGTCGTTGCTACTGTTGTTGTTGCTGTTGTTGTTGCTGTTGTTTTTGCTGCTGTTGTTGTTGATGCTGTTGTTGTTGCTGCTGTTATTGTTAGTTCAGTCAGTATTATATCGAGGTATGGCGCAAATGAACCTGATTCATACCTCGCGTATTATGCTGACCTTTTAATATTTTGGGGTTATTGGGGACTCTTTAAGGCCAACCGCCAGTCAATAAGCGTGTCACAGGACATCGGGAGGGGGGGGGGGGGTAATAATCAGATTTGTTTGTTTGAGCGTGAAATCAGGTAGATGCTAATGAACTCCCCGTTCAATTATTTGTTGAAGCAGAGCAGATGATATTTTATTTAAATGCAGGTCGTGTTTTATGCCCCCATCGTTACACTTTACATCTTTAAGGAGGCAGGATTCCGACCCTAACTGCAAGGGATAATCTGGGCTGAGAGGGATACATCCCAGCAGAAAGATCGAGATACTCGATTAACAGTTTTCCCCGCTCGGGAATCAAACAATCAAACTTGGGTCTCCTGTTTACGGCAGCGAAGCACCCAACCGTCACACAACAGTTGAGCAGATGTCAGTGATATTACGCCGATCTGGCATACCCATAAATTGTCGAGCGCCTATTATTTACCTCGACGTGACACATCATAATATTATGCAGGTCAAGTACATTAATTGTGTCGTGATATGGTGGAATCAGGCGCTCGTCAATTTTAGGACATATGGAAGTATTTGTATAATCTAATAGCTTTTTTCATTTGTTTTGCTCTTGATGAAAAAAAAATCCATTTATCTTGAATAGAAGTCGAGCTATTTGGGATTGGGGTTGGTGGAGTCGCCTGGTTTCAGGTGTAAAATTAACGAGAACATGGCCGCCAAAGTAGCTATAGACTGCCATAGCTAGAGTGTCCTTGGAAGCAAAGCAGGACATTTACACTTTTTGTGTCTTTAATCAACTTTTCCCAGTAAAATCGACACAGAAATGTGTTTTTAAATGGACCTAAAAGGTGTTGAACATTTATTTGACCAATCAATGGGCATGAGATCTAACACTTGGGTGTTCCCAGGCCCCATCGTGTGGTACCAGCAGTTCGAGTACGCCATTGGCCACTGGCTTCAGAAGGCCACAGAGCATGTGTTTGGCTGCGTCCTGTGTGCCCCTGGCTGCTTCAGCCTGTTCCGCGGCTCTGCTCTAATGGACGACAACGTGGCCCGTATGTACGCCACCAAGTCTACGGAGGCCGGCCATTACGTGCAGTTTGACCAGGGTAGGTTTGAGTGGGATCTCTCCTCCTCTCTGGCTTTCTTTTTTCTCTTTCCTTTTTTTTTCTTTCTTTGTCGCTCTCTGTCGCTGTCTCTCTCTCTCTCTCTCTTCCTCTCTCTCTCACTCTCTCTCTCCCTGTCTCTCTCCATCTCTGTCTCTCTTTGTCCTTCTGTCTGTCTGTCTGTCTGTCTGTCTGTCTGTCTGTCTGTCTGTCTGTCTGTCTGTCTGTCTGTCTGTCTGTCTGTCTGTCTGTCTGTCTGTCTGTCTGTCTGTCTGTCTGTCTCTCTCTCTCTCTCTCTCTCTCTCTCTCTCTCTCTCTCTCTCTCTCTCTCTCATAAAAATTCTAGGATGTTGAAAAAAAAGCAAGAAAAGATACTGAAGCAGGTACTAATTGTTAAAAGAATTAAACGGTATCTTTCCCTCTCCTGAAAAAAAATGTTTTCCAATCTTAGTGCTTTTGAACAACTTGCCATATTATAATACAATATCAAAATATAAATAGTATAAGTGAACACACATGAATACACACGCATAGCTATACACACACAGACACATACAAATACACATACACACAATCACACACACACACACACACACACACACACACACACACACACACACCCTCTTTCGATTTTCCCCAGAATTCTTTTCTCTTTTTCTCACAACTGCAATTACTAAACTGTGGCAGGTGAGGACCGTTGGCTCAGCACCCTCCTCCTGCAGCAGGGTTATCGCATTGACTACAGCGCGGCGGCAGATGCCTTCACACAAGCTCCGGAGACTTTTAATGAGTTCTTTAACCAGCGACGCCGATGGGGACCTTCGACTTTGGCGAACATTCTGGACCTTTTGGGTAACTGTCTAAACGACTTTAGCCTCACCCTGATTTCGGTATGGAGGATGTAGAGTTCTGTGGGTAAACATAGATCCAAGGGAAAGTTATTGCAATCTATCAGAACAGGCTGTGCGCTTGACTGAAGTGGGCTGATCGCATTCGTGACTACTATGGAGAACAGTGTAAGGTGCAAGTATTATGTGTATTACTTCAACATTTGGAATACTGAATGCCAAGTGCTTTTAATTTGTATTTTAATAATTCAACCGGTATTGAAATATTGAATACCAGACGCTTTTCATTTGATATCTGTCTGTATTTGAGTGTATCGAGGACCAGCTTCTGAAGATATAAGGGGTATAACGAGTTTAGTATTTGGACTCGAGTCCGAGTCTGAATGATAATGAAATACTCGAGTTAATACTCGAGAACTCGAGTACTGGAGTACTCGAATCCCGAATACCGTCATAATGTTTTGGTAAGTGTTTTGCGGTTTTTTTCAAGTTTTTGACTCAGTGTAACACTACCACCCGGGGCGGTGCGACTGACTGAAGTGTTTTTAGGCCTTTCCCAAAGGGGGGACACTAACATGTTCTTATGCACAGTAGAATTGTAAATGGGCTGATTCATCATTGTCATGCTCATACATGGGCTTGAACGGCAACAAGGAACTGCTGCTTCTTCTTTCCTAATCCTTACTATCGTCATTTTCCCTCTACTTCTTTTCTATGTTTGTCACACTTGTGACCTGATATTTTCGGGGTACTTTGACAGCCGAATCAAACTTTGTGCTGTTGAAGCTAGAGAGGAGAGTAGAGTAAGCCTGATTCCCTGTGAGGGCTTCTCAGTTGACATCCACCCCTATGCGCTCATATGACCCTAAGCAGTTGTGAGCGCCGTAAAACCTCTACTAAAACTAATGTAACACCAAACAAAACGATTATTTTGGAACAAAAGTTTTTGTCTCATAACAAAGTTTAAAAAAAATATAAGTAAGTTTAATAAGTCTTTCGACTGCAGTCAAACGTGCTATCCGTTTTCAAAGAGCCGTGGCTACTAGTATCCACGATTGACGTATATAAAATCATTACTGGCTGTCGACATCTAATTAGCCGCTATACTGTGAAAAACTGTAACTTAATAATTACAATCATAATAATAATGATGATGATGATGATGATGATGATGATGATAATAATAATAATAATAATAATAATAATAATAATAATAATGATAATAATAATGATAATAATAACAGCAACAACAAAAATAATAATAGCATTTATATAGCACATATCCCCGCTCTGCAGCATGCTATATGCGCTTTACAACCATTACTGCCCCAGCAGATCCAAGGACACTCAGAAAAATTCTCTACTTCTTTGAAAGCATATATCTACACTTCAAGTAGCCGATGTACAAGCTAAAACAGTAGCAATCTGACAAGATCTTTCTCTTTCTTTAACAGAGTACCCATTCCCACCTCCTAGTGAAGTGAGGAAAATTCGTATGAAATGGCTTTTCGAAGGATGCAACGTCGAGTCTCTCACGGGATTCGAACCCAAAACTTTTTGGTTGCGAGTCCAAGAGCTAAATCACTGGGCTACCGATGCCTCAATTCGAGAATTCATCGTGGTCTGTTCTTCCTTGTATGGAGCTTATCTCTTTTTCATGCGTCACTAAAGTATAGAGTGAACAGAGGTAAATGCTCGGGTCTTTACTAGACCGGACATCATTTTAAAAAAATTAATGTGATAATAAGAAATATATTGTAGTATTTCAGCCATCCCCCACTTTGAATAAAAAACGATTTAAAAATTCAAATTTTCGGTCGATGGAGAAATGTCAAAAGAGCAAACATTTTGACACACCAGTCACCCAAATAGACCCACCTCTTCGTGGTTTTTTTTTGGGGGGGGGGGGGGATTAGTACTCTTCGAATAGGACACAACAGTCTTTGTTGTTTGCAGACGCTGTCTCTCCCAGTTTCATCTGCTCTTGGATTTACAACAAATCTTGAGATCCGTTTATGGGGACGCGAAATTTTTGTACCGAAAAGAAAGTCTATAATGTTTGTATCCCATCTACTTGCCCATTCTGTTCCATTTTAACTCATTTTTAAAAAAGTAACAAAGTAAAAAGTTCAGACTGGGGTTTGCTACACACAGCTAAAAATGTTCTAAAGAAAGATTAGCGATTCTTTATTCTCCACGTTCCCTACCTCTCTTTACTGCCCAAGCCAAAGTTGGTTCTGAGCAGAGTTGTGTTTCTATTCTTACTTGCTTTCACTTTCAGTGATGATAAAAGCGGGGGTTAACAGAGAGAGAATTTCTTCGGAGAATCCAACACACAAACAAACACAAACACAAACACACACACACACACACACACAACACACACACACACACATACACACACATACACACACACACAATCTCACACACACACAATCTCACACACAACATTACATAGGTTGTGTGTATATATATAATATCTAAATTTCAATGTGAGACAGGAATTTTTACTATCACCTTTTCTCTATACCTTGGCCATCAATTGGCTTATGAAGGAAACCACCACAGGGCACAGGAATTGCTAATAATGGACCCCATGGACACTGTTGAGCGATCTAGATTTTGCTAATGACTGGGTGCTTCTGTCACACACCGAGGAATAGATGCAAGCAAAAACATCAGTTTTAAACAGTCTATCAGAGTCTGTTGGATTGAGGATCCACACAGGAAAGTCAAAGGTCCTAAGGATAGATGAACTAAGAGGGGAGCAGGTCAAAATAGAAGGAGATGCACTAGAAGACGTCAAATCCCGTTGCTATCTCGGTAGTATAAATGAGAGAGAGAGAGAGAGAGAGAGAGAGAGAGAGAGAGAGAGAGAGAGAGAGGGAGGGAGGAAAAGGACCAGGGACATCTCACTTTGAACATTTCTGAGGATTTTCAACTCAAATGTGAAGTCATTCCTGCTGTATGGATGTGAGGCGTGGAACCCCATCTTAAAGAGGTTTTCTTGATCAGGTGTCAATGGAAGTTACTGAGAATCAGATGGACAGACAGGGTCACCAATCAGGACGTGTTAAGGAGAAAACAAGAGAGGCCAATCAGAGATGAGGTGGGAAGAAAGCTGAGGCGTTGGATTGGACATACTGGCAGGAAGTCGGGTATATTCATAACAAGGAAAAGTGTTGGATTGGGATTGAAACACACAGTGTAAAAGATCAAGGAGAGAACCACGTGGAACAAGTAGAAGAGTCACAGAAACTGATGTACAGAAAAGTGGAAGACTGGAAATAACGTCAAGAGACTAGCCCTGGAAGGAGAAAAGTGGAAAGTGTTTGTTCATGGCCTATACCCTGATCCAGGATGAGAAAGGCAATGGTAATATTTATATTTCTCTATATATTTGTATTTCCATTTCCATGTTAAATTTATGCTTTCTAAGTCCATAATTCAAAGACTGCTATATTAATTTTAAAAAATTCAACAAGCACAAATTTAGAACTAGGTGTTGTTGGTATCCTGTGAAAGTTACATTGAAATTGAAAAAGAAACAGAGCAGAAAAATGGGATAATGTGTGAAAAAGTAGAATTGTCCGAAAGCAGCCGATAAAGGTAAGAACAGGCTGGAAAACATGACGTGTGCTTTCGCGGAAAAACCTGATTTAAAAAACTCAGCGTTAGGGTGTCTCAAGGCTTACAGACGTTTCTGGATATTGTTCAGAAAATGTCCAGGTATTATAATATGTAAGAACCCCAATTTGCATAATTTGACCCCAAAACACGATTTCTAGGTGCCCCACAAACTACATCAACAGCAGCAATGATTAAAATTTGTTGCTCAATTCCAGGGGACTGGAGGAATACCGTGCACATCAACGACAACATCAGCAGTCTGTATGTGTTCTACCAGACCATGATGTTTGTGTCGACCTTGCTAGGGCCAGCGACTGTGCTGCTCATGATGGCAGGAGCCTACCAGGTGAACCTTAGAATTACTAAGTTCTATCTGACATTTTTGACTATTTTGAGTAACTAAGACCAGAAAGTCAGAAACCAAATTTCCTATCTACTCTTGCAAAATCATAAGATTATTTAGAGTCGTTCTCAAGATGTTCAAAGAATTACAATCGAAAAAGCTTAATTGGCATGAAGTGAAAATAAAATATTTTAATGTCAAATTTCTCGAAACTGGGTACTGAGCAGATAGAACTTTATACATCTAAGGTTGTGTAATGTGCGTCACAAATTTCAGTGTTAACATACTATATATTCCCTGCCAATGTCTCTGGCAACTCCAGCAGACTTAGATTAGTTAAGAACAAACGGCTATGTAAAGCTTGAAGACTTCCTGTTCACGTACCACAGAAACATAGCTCGTTAAAATAATAATTTCTTTACACCGAAACACGCGGTTCTTGGCTTTACGACACGTGTGAGTAAATGTAGGTGTGAATTGACTTCGTGACGCATTGGAATGCCTCGGGTGAGCGACAGAACGTTACATAACATGACGTTTATAATTAATTGAGTTGCGTAGTTTTTTGTCAAACATGTCCTCAATTATTGAACGTAAAGTCTCCAGCTTTTGCAGAATGACTTGTATAAGTTTGTTTAAACAGATCAATATTTTGTAACGCCGGTTAGCTTTATTCTAGATAATAATTCCTTAACAAATAAACACTGAATCAAAATCTGATTAGGTAGTTTCTGCAGATTATAAAAGGTTAACAGCTGGAACAATGTCGCTTATAAAAGCAAGTCCGTCATTGTTTTTCTTATTGCAACATTATGTTTATTTAACGCAAGTTTTGTGAACCTTTAGGGCAAAAAAGTGTTCACTTTAATATTGTTTTCCTATAACACGTTTTGCCTCTAAAAATTAAAGGGGCGTTGATAAGCTGTGACACAGGCCATACATTATGTATGTAAAATGTGTGTCAGAAGCGGGAACTGCAGTGAACATTCCGATTTTCCACGTGACGGAGATTTATAGTATTTTATATAAGTTTATTAAGAAAATAGAAAAACTCCAACTCCAACATGCAATATCAAAATCAATAATACCACCCTCAAGCAAGTACAACATTTTAAATGTTTGGGGACCATTATATAATGAGATGGGACATGCCACACCCAAATTAAAAGCCGTATTTGCCAAGCAAAAGCAACCTTCCACAAAATGAAACAGATACTCACAAACATCAATCTGTCACTGAAAATGAGAAAAAGAGTACTGAAAAGTTACATCGACCCAACCCTATTATACGGGTGCGAAGCATGGACAATCAATAAACAGCTGGAAAGAACAATTGTGGCGACATAGTTGTGGTTCATAAGACGCATGCTACGTATCCCATGGACAGCTAGAAAAACAAATGGAGAAGTCTTGGTTAAAGCAAATTGCAGAAGACAGCTTATAACGAATATAAGAAAGCGACAGGCAACTTTCTTCGGAGAATATTGTAACAGCAGGCAAGTTTGATGGAAAGAGAGGCAGAGGCAGACAGAGGGAAAAGATACTGGACAAGATAACAACATGGCTAGGAGCAGCATGAACAACAGACACCATAGCTGCAACGCAAGGCAGAGTGAAGTGGAGGTCCATGAACGCCCACGCCAGTCGGCAAGGCATCGGATGATGATGATGAAGAAAATAAATGTTTTAAATCTAGCCTAAATTATTGTGGAAAAATATGATTAAGTTAAGACAAATTGATACAAACTGTTGTACGAAGTATGGGTGACATTGATTCACCGGTTAGATAGATATTTGAGATAAGTTGCGCCACGAATTTTTGACCGCACTGTAGATAATCTATTTCGTCGAAATTAGGGCTTTCTTCAACACCATTAAGTGCCATTCTGAAGCAGAATTTTGAACAGTAATCATGGCTCGCCACTCATTCATTCTATTCTTGGGTGCTTCTAAAGAAACTCGAGTATTATTTGGTGTTTTCCTCATCATCCATTCGTTAGTAATGATATTAATAACAATGATGATGATGTTATAATAACAATGATATTGATGATGGATGATGATGATGATGAGGATTATCATAATATTCGTAATAATCATAATTAACTTAATGATAATAAATAGCATTTGTATAGCGCATATTCCTGTTCGACAGCAATCTGTAGGCGTTTATAAATGCAATATGGAATCATCTTTTTACGATATCAAACTAAGTGGCAGAACACAAAGACGGCGGATTTCTGTCACCTAACCTCACTATGTACCGTAAGTTATAAGAATCCATCTATACAATTTCTACAAGAGCACAGAGGCACGGCCTACTCTCTGCGCCGATCTGCGGGATCGGTGGCGGCTTATTTTATAGGAATGAAATTTAGATTCCTACTCACAGGAATACGCTGCTCAGTGCAAAGGAGTGCCTCGTCAGTGGGCGTCACCGGAAGCGTGACATCATAGGGCTGGTCTGGGAACTTCTTCAACTGACCATTATCTCAACAAGGAAACGTCGTAGACAAAAGCTTATTAGATATTTGAAATCAGGTATCCAAATTTTACAGGCTCACCGAGCAGAATTTGAGTTTGTGAAGCGTATTTAGAAATCAGTAATGTTTGGTTTTAAACCACGGATCGTAGTTATTGAATTATGAAGCGAGCTCTGTGTGTTGTGTGTGCGCGCGCACGCGTGCCCATTGAGGTTTTCAAAAAAATGAAAGTAAGTAGCATTTGCACGCCAATTCGTTTTCTTTCTTAATTTTTGAAGAATGCTGTCTAAGTTTAAAAACTCTTAATCCAAAGAAGACAACATGTTGGAATTTACAACTCCACAGTTGTTCACAATATGACAATTACAGTAAAGCTCAGCCTGTTAATCTAGATCTACTTCAGAGGGACAGTCTGCACGCGCTGAAAATATATGTCCTTACCTTCGAAGAGATCGGCGCGAGCGAATTTGTTACCGATATGCCGAAACAACGGTGGCCTCTCTGTCCTCTCCCAAGAAAGAAAAAAACCCTAAATCGTTTTCCCAATTTACGAGACATTGAGCATGGACCCATTGAACCTTCCCATCCGTTTATTCTCTTGGCATGAAATGTAGCCAATCCCCCCCCCCCCAAAATAAAAAAACCCAAACAAACTTCCACCTTTGATCTTGTTTGTATTTCACATCAGATTACAAAGCTGTAAATACCGCCAGGATCATAAAAACCTGCCCACACATGCAGCTTTGTTAGCAACTTCCTGCCCGACTTTGTTTACATTTTAAGAGGCTTTTCTGACGAAGGCTTTGTACCTCTGAACTCAGGAGATAGAATGTATCATACTGGGTTGAATGGGCTCCAGGTGACCTTTTTCGATTACCGTTATATGGCTTTCATTGGGAATCGTCCCTAATATTACCTGATTGCAGGTGCCGTAAAACTCTTACTAAATCACACGATTTCACAAAGAATTGTTACGTTTCATTATGCGCTTGGCTTGGTTCTATCCCAGCTGGACATTAAAATTGGAGATCCTGATTTATATTTGTCGTCGTTGTCGTCGTCTGTTTTGTTGCAGAGTAGTAAAATCATGCCGCAGAAACTTGAATAGATAATCGCCCACATTCAGGCTTTGTTAAGAACTTAGATAAGGGGAAACACCATATTATTATATAAACAAGCGTTCATCTTCAGATGTTTCATAAGAGAAAGAAACAATATTATATCGATCGGACTGAAGCTCACAAATAAGCTGTCTCATTTCTCCGTTCGGCTCTGCCGCGGTCCTCGTTGAGCGTATAGCTAAGGCTAATTGGTTCCGTAATATGTTACAGCAGACAGCCCATATGGCCAAACACACGTGAGAAACTAGATGTACAATGGAATGCAAATATAGATAAGGGAAGGGAAGCGTAGAAGTCTCACAGCATCTTTTTCGTAAGAAGGGGATAATTGACTCTAAGCCCTCACACCTACGTGGTTTATTTCCGGAACAACATAATGTACAGTTTAAATTTAATGAGCGTTGCGTAAACATTCTAAAAGTACCTTCGAATAATTTGTGTCTGATCAAACTTAAGGAAAACTTCAAGAGAAAAAAGGCGGTTGTTTACTGTTAGCAATTAGCCCTACACCTAAATTTGATTTCATAAATGAGGTGTCCTTCTTCGATTTAATGCGCGTTGTGACAAACAATTATGATAATATTAAATCTGCTAATATCCACGATGTCATGAGCAATAAAGAAAAAAATTCAAAGTGCTGTTGTCTAGCACATAAGCTCGAGATACTTGACAACAAAAGTAAAACTACGGAAGATGATTCCCTTCAATGTCGAGAAACTAATATGTTAAGTTATAACGTCACATTTCACCCTATTTTCCCCATTCGTTTGTCGTAAACAATTGTTTATATATATATATATATATATATACTAGCTGGGCCCCCTTTCGATGAAAGGAATGATCGATGCTTTAATATCAACTAAAAGTCATTGGCCTACTATATTTACACTCTATTGGAATGAGGAAATAAATCTTGAGAGATGCAAAAAATTATAAGGTCTAGATCCATGCTCTCAAAACGAAATGCGCCTCGCGAAATATCACTTCCGGATTTTCAAAAATTACAGAGACAGAAGCGTCGGCGTACAAAAGCGATCGGCAAAATAAAGAAATTTAGCTTTTTGCAGCAAAACCGTCTCAAAACTGAAAAAACCAAGGGCGTCATGTTCTGGAGAATATTTTTAAGAATCTTTTGGCGAAAACCGCCTGTCGATCGATGCAGCCATTAAAACGCCTTTTGAATAACAAAATTCGGCCACAACAAACAGATAATTCGTTTGTCGTAAACAATTGTTTATATAGATCTATATATATAGATCTATATATAACTTTTTTCTTTTCTTTAAAAAAAAAAAAAAAAAATTTTTAAATATACATATATACATGTATAATATATATTATACGTGTGCTTGTTTGTGTGTGTGTGTGTGTGTGTGTGTGTGTGTGTGTGTGTGTGTGTGTGTGTGTGTGTGTGTGTGTGTGTGTGTGTGTGTGTGTGTGTGTGTGTGTGTGTGTGTGTGTGTGTGTGTGTGTAGGTGTGTGTTAATTATATTATGCGCATTATTTTGATATACAATGCGTATTACTTTATTATTTTATGCTACCCAAAAAAATGTATCATTATCTATAGTACTTTTCTTTTTTTTTGTTCGGTCTGTCCTACTTTCCGCTGCACTAAATAGCTATTATCACTTCGATGTGCCCCTCTCTCATCAAACCAAAATAGTATTGCTTAAAAGATTACTGTAGGACCTTTCCTAAGGGTCCACTATCTAGGACAACATGTACAAAGGACCACTTCCTCCCTTGCCGTTTCTATATCATAATAATAATGTTCTTCACCTGTCTAAGACAAGCACTTTTCTGCTCCACAACGGTTTTCTGTCGTGGACGATTTGAACTGGATGCATGCTGTTATTAGAATTAACGAGCGCTGGTTATGAATAATGATCAATGCTTTTAACTTACTTAGTCTCCCCCCATACCGTGAGGCACTTATGGTAGAGAGCAATCGACGCCACTCTTGTCCGTCTCTGGCCACAATCTCCAGTCTTGGCACATCTTGTCCGTGGGTGACAGTGCCATCCCTGATTGGGCTTCTGTAACTTCTAAGTAGAGCTATGCCAGTTTAACGTTATAAATATTCAAAAATGTCTCTCCGTTTCACAGGTAGTGTTCAAGATCACGGTATTTGAGTCATATTGCCTGTCCATCGCCCCGGCAGCCGCCTACGTGTTGTTGTGCATGTTCGCCAAGTCCGACACACAGCTCTCCGTGGGGGCCGTCATGAGTGCTGTCTACGCAATTGTCATGACAGTGGTGCTGGTGGGGACCATAGGAACGGCAATCAGTGGCTCTATCACCAGCCCCAATGTCATATTCATGGTAAGCGTTTGTGATTTTGAAGTGCTGTCAAAATTTTTCAAGACTCTCACCCACTCACCCCACCACTATTTGTAAATTTGTAATACAGTTACAATTGTTTAAGACTCTCAACTGTCTCTTTTTGTGATTTCGCAGTACAGATGAAATTGTACGCTGTCGGGGAGTGGAGCTGTTATCTTAGACAGGTTGACGGGTTGGGTAGTGTTATTTATATAGATTACATTAGTGAAAGCTTTGGTCGCCTAAAACTTCAGAACCACTTAACTTTAGAATTTGAAAAAAAATAGTAACAGCGGTTCAGAATCTTTTAAAGGGTGCACAGTTATATTAAGGAGTCTGAAGTCACTGTTGTTTAAGTTTCAGTTTTTCAACAGTTCTGTTTATATCTAATCTTGGGAAAGTCCGTTTTCTAAGACGCCATTTTAAACCAAATGAGATTTCTGTCCACAAGCAGTGTGCACTGTTCCACAATGACTTGACGGTCGATTCTTTTGAGTCCGTTCATCGAACGGATACCTAGCATGTTATGATGTAGGAAAATAAAAACGAAAACGGAGGAAGTGAGAGTTTGTCTCTTGTGAAGCTTGTTTTGCTCGGGATCAGCTGTAGCCAGCGTACTGCTTTAGAAATAGTGTGTTAAGATGCACACGACCACACTAGAAGGATGTCTGATGGGATAGAATGTGCTCACCACATCAGAGAACCCATCAATCATCACTCACTTTATATATATATTATGTTTGAGTGGGTAGGTTGGTTCAATCAGATATATAGATAGATAGATCCATCCATCCATCCATTCATCCATCCATCCATCATTTCATCCATCCATCCATCCATCCGTCGGTCCGTCCATCCATCCATCCATCCATCCATCCATCCATCCATCCATCCATCCATCCATACATACATGCATACACATACATACATACATACATACATACATACATACATACATACATACATACATACACAGAGACTTAGATGGATATAGGGTGTTTAAAAATACCTGTTTTCTTTAGAATCTTTGATGGGTTGAAAAAGGTTGACGTTTGACGTACATTCTTCGAGCCTGATAGGACAATTTACCCAACGGTAAAAGACAAGTTCTATGGCTGGAGCGGAAGGTGGGGGTAGCGAGCGCTTGGGGGAGGGGAGTTGAAGAGTAACGAGGGGGTGTATTGTTGTGGGGAGGGGTGAGAAAGGATAGACGTAGTAGGATGTAAAAAAATAGATAAATGAGAAGACCCTCTTAAAGGGCAATAACTTTATCATTTCTGTATTAATTTCAACAAAAATTCTGACAAAGAAAATTCGACCAGGAAGACATCAGGTTTATAAATAAAAAAAAAAAATCAGTTGACGTGGTCGAGAAATATCAAGTAAAAAAAATTTCAATCAAAATAAACTTTACTCCTTTAAAATGTTCACCTACAGTGGCGTGATTGGTCCGTTCTGGATTCAGGACAAAAAGGGTATAACCACGACAATCACATCAGATTATGGATATGCGTTGATTAAAAAAAAAAATTAACACCCATCTATTCCTTAAACAGTTATCATGGTGACTGGTTACCGCGGTTTCCATGGTTGCTCTCGTCCACGTACATGGAAACCAAATTGTCTCACAGAACAAATTTGAAAAGTAATAGAATTTAAATGGACAAAAACATGTACCAACAGCTTATATATTTCACAGAATTTGAAATATCACTGTATGATGTGGTGGTGATAATACGTGCAGGTTGTCTAAAAAAAGAACCCGTTTAAAGAGTAAATATTCGGTCATTTTTCCACTCAATTTAACAAAACTTTGACCAAATAAAATTCGATCAGCGGGACGTCATATCTGTTTCAATATGAAGAAAAATCAATTCACATGTTCGAAAAACATTACTTTTTTAACCACCAAATTTCAGTGAAATTCAACTTTGCAACTTAAAAAAAGACCGTACTCAAGTGTATCTATGCATTGAAGAGCGAATTTATATTAAACTGGTATTGCCAAATAAACTCAGGGATAGTGGTGGCTATTTAATTTGCATGCCTCTGGTGTTGACTATCACGATAAGCTTGAATACGCCACTAGAAATTTTATGGCAAGTTTTTGAGTCGATTCTTTAGACATCCTGTTTAACATTGAGTTTCAACTTTTCGACTGTTCGCGGGTTGTTTACGTAGATTATATCTGTAAAAAAACAAAAAGCAAAAATAAATAATTGAGGGGGTTCACGTGTAGGGAAAGAAGTAACAATTCAATTGTTTTATCCTACAGAAACTAGGTCTCCCCAACAGCATGACACCTTCTTCTCCTTAGATTTCTCCGTAACTTTCTCCGCACGGTGAGATTCCCTTCTCGTGTGACTGACGGTCGTGGTTTACCGCCCTCATCCTGAATCCAGAACAGGCCGACCACGGTTCTGTGGCTGAATGCTTTTAAAACACACACTTTTGTGCATTACAGACTTTTGGTTAACTAAGTTTAACTGGATGATCCTCGAACACTTGAATTTATTTTCTTTTTAATATTGAACAATTTGACGTCAACTTGTTTCAATTTTATCAGTTTTGTTGACAATAGTATGATCGTGCTTGTGTCTTTTAAATGGGTCGTCTTGTATTTTAGAGACCATTTAAACGCATGTATATTTATCTTCTGACAGGAATATTCAGAAGCCTGCCTCCAATATATGGTCTAAATTATGTCGATTCTGTATGTGTGGTTGGAAGGGGGGGGGGGGGGGTGGCGAAAACAAACCTACATTAATTTTTTTTTGTTCTCAGGTGATGCTCAGTGTGATCTTCATCACTTCAGGCTTTATGCACCCTCGTGAGCTCGGCTGCCTTGTCCCAGGGGCTCTCTACTTCATCTGTATCCCGGCCGGATATCTGGTGCTCACCATCTACTTTCTGACCAACCTGCACGTTGTCTCATGGGGAACACGAGAGGTGCCTAAAAAGAAGACCAAGGAAGACTTAGAGAAGGAGAAGAAGGAGCAGGAGAAGAAAGAGCAGAGGAAAATGGAGAGGAAAAGTGGTGTTCTCGGGTGGCTCGGTGTCAAGTAAGTTCCACACGAAATGAACTGTAATTGTGAGTGTTTTACGTTCTCATCAAGTCAATGTTAATTTCGTAGACAGGCTATTTTGATTCTGTCTGTAAGGGTTAAGGGGGACACAACACCTCCTGAGATGGATAAAGCGTCCTAAGAGACAGACGGGGATACTCGATTTAAAAAATACCTCTCCACGTGGGAATCAAACTGGTGTCTTCTGCTTGCGGCGCTGAAACAACTAACCGCTATACATTAGATACTAGTAGTTTCAGAGAGTAAGAGTTAAAAAATGTACCTTTATTAAAATCGTGGACATTTTCTCTCGCAGCCACTGACTACCAAAGCCGACAGCAGTTGCAAGAACAAAACAATAATAAAGACATATCTTAAAAGCCAACAAAGAAACAGTATCTCTGTCTTTCTCCCTCAATTTCCCTTTCTCTCTCCGTGTCTATCATTATGTCGGTGATTCCAGCTGTCGGCCTGCATCTGTTTTTCTTTCTCTCTTTCGCTCACGGTCTCTCCCAATTCTTGCTCACACATACGCACGCAAAGCCTCATATTCACAAACACGCAAACAAAAAACAGGTTAGTATTTAATTTGAAAGTAAAATGGCGCCTAATAAATAGCCTGTTTCAACGTTCGTTTCTCAGTTAGCTGTAATCGTATTATTATTTTGTGGAGGTGAATCTTTGTTTTTATCCAGCGAAAACTGGAACTTTTTCTAATTTGAATGATTCGTTATTTCTTAATTTGAATGGTGTTTTTTTTTCTTTGTTTGTTTGTGTGTGTGTGTGTGTGTGTGTGTGTGTGTGTGTGTGTGTGTGTGTGTGTGTGTAAAAAGTTGTGCATGTTCACATATTATGCTACTAGCGTGCATCTTCGTTTGGGAGAGACAGATAAACAGGTTGACACCTGGAGGATAGAAAGACAGAGAAACTATTAGAGAAAATGTGTGGGTGGCTTGGATTATTGTTTCATTACAAACCAAAATAATTCTAATTTTTTGTTGTTGTTATTTTTAGATACGTGTTCTCGGAAATAGGAGAACTGATCAAGCAGTTCAGAGCCTTGATCTTTGAGACTGTCCGCTCCAAAGACAAAGACAGAACCGAGACGAAGTCCACATCTAAAAAACGCAGTAACTCCACCTCTTACACAAACGAGTTGCTCCAGCAACTGGTTGAGGAGTTGAAAGAAGGCCGACGGATGCAGTCGACCAAGCTTGACGATGCCGAGAAAGGATTCCTTGACGTCCCCAGCAAACATTTGTTCCGTAAAGTGAGTGACGGTATGATCAGTTCACATGTCGGTGCTACTGGGAACGTCGACGACCATCAGGCCAGCTCTCTTCACAACGATATTCGCACACAGGTTTGTGTATGTGTATGCTTTAGTTTTAAAATAATTTAAATTGCTTCGTCTGCCTGTTTGAGTTATTATGTTAGCACACTCAAGTAACACAGGCATATTGTGAAAATACGAAGGCTAGGATCAGGAGAGACGTAGCTGTTGTTTTTGTTGTGTTTGGTGTTATTTTTATTATTACTGTTGTTTCTTTTGTTGTTGAATACTAGTTAATTGCAAAACAGCATAATAGTAGATACATCTCCACTGAAACAAACCGAGACCAGAAGAGCCAGACTGAGGCGCTACATGGAGACCCCTCCCCCACTCGGAATTATCCACTCTCAGAAACAACATCAGAATTGTGAACTTTCATCACTTTTAAAACTGTAAGTTCTAAGACCGTTAAATCTTCCTTTGTACAGACAAGAAAAATACTCTTTCAATAAAGATGAAAACCCATAAAGTATTTCCCCTTATCAAGAATGAGCAACTGCACAAGTTGCAATTACATCTGTGTGAACATCTTTCGTAAACCAGTCGAAAAAGTAATGGGAAAAAACCAGTTTGGGAAAATCTCATACAAAGCAGTGATGAGGTCAATGAAGAAACAGATTACTCCGATAGCGTCCAATAGACGCTTCACAATAAAACGATATTTTGACACATTTGATGCATAACCACTCATATATTGCGCAACAATCCTTTGAAATGCATGAACACTCGTAATATATCAGGACAAAAGAAAATGTATAAAAAGGACAATCACTGTGGGTGATAGTCACATGTGTTACGTTGTTGGAAGAAGAATCAAACTAGCTAAAAATACGTTTTAGATAAATGTATCTCCAGACCAGTCTTATATGCGGTCAACATGGGCGTCTCCCTTATTTGCAGTGGGAAGGAATTCCACACAAAGTTGTTGAAAAAGCCATAAATCCAATGTTTTACTAGGCACAGTTTGAAGACCCCATCCCGGCCCCGTAAATTTTCAATCAAATATACTCGTGTCCTAAATTAGAATGATATCGTGGTGCAAGATCATTAAAACTCTTAGAGCACATTACCACAGGTTTGTGTACTCAATACAGGCTTTCACAGAGACCTAATATAGATGGCGAAGCAATGGTGCTCTGTGTGCACCAGAGAGGGTTTACAGTAATACTGGTGTGCACTAACAGACTTTTTGAGAACAACACTTAAAGTGTGGGTCAGAAATCTTATAATTTTGTTCATTAGGTCTGTTTGCATGGACACGAGGAATGAGCTACATATACAATATGAGGCAGATGATGGCATCAGTGTCTTGAGAAATGATTTGCTAACACACCTTACACACACAACTCTCTCTCTCTCTTTCTCTCTCTTCCCCCCCTCTCTTTCTCTCTCTCTCTCTTTCTCTCTCTCTCTCTCTCTCTCTCTCTCTCTCTCTCTCTCTCTTTCTCTGTCCTCCTCCCCCCCTCTCTCCATTTCTCTCTGCCTCTTTGGATCTGCGTCTATCACCCTTCCCCATTGCACCCCAGTCAGTCTTTCCTCCTCAGAACTCTGTGGCCCCGGCATCAGTGATGACGTCACCGAGTTTCACTATCAGAGAGGACCCAGCTAGACCCGCCTGGATCTTGCACCCGGCTCTGAGCGGAGGTTCAATCAAACTGCTACCCGAGAGAGAGCGAAACTTTTGGTCTCAGCTCATGGCCAAATATCTCTACCCGATCAATGAGGCGAGTCAGTCGGTGTACAGAAATTATAGTCTTAAAAAAGTGGGGGTTTTCTGTTGTTTATATCGGACGTATTTTCTCGTATTTGTTCGAAGTTCCATTGGACTTAATTTAGGTAAACTACTTGTTCTCGTATAAGAAACATTTCAACAGTGTTAACTATTTCAGAGGAGACGTTTACAATAAACATATTATAATGTGCTCACCGTTAAAAATAATCGTCATTTGAAGACACCTCAGTGGGGATTCGGAAAAGGATCATCCGTACTGTACCCCAGAGTGAAACTGAGCAGTGTGATAATAGTTAAACATTCTTATGATGCTGACGACTACACTAAAAGTATTTCTCTCAGAATCAGTATACGCCGCTCGTAGTTTACAAAATAAAACATACAAAACCATTATTTTGTCTTTTTTATTTCGCAGGACGTACAAAGCAAAGAAAGAATTCATAAGGATCTGCTAGCCTTGCGGAATAATGTTGTGTTTGCCTTTTTCATGACGTCTGCCGTCTGGATTGCGCTGTTTATGCAGGTTCATCATCATCATCATCATCATCATCATCATCATCATCATCATCATCATCATCATCATCATCATCATCATCATCATCATCATCATCATCTGATATACCTTCTTAAGCGACTCCTTACCCCAACCCCTTTTTGAGTTGCTTACTGCACCGATCATCTTCATTTTTGGACACTTCATCAATGTGCTTGTTGAAGGTTAGCTGTCTGTCCAGATAGACGCCCAGCAGGCGTGGGGCAGAGTTGTATCAATAGCGGCTTAAAATACCTAAGCCAACAAAAGAAAACCTTCGTTATAATGATTTATATCTGTTACCGACTTGGTTCGCTGTAACAATCTTGACCTTCGTCCCTGTTCAATCTATGAAAACAATTGTAGGTACTTTTCACACTTGCTCCACGATTTTTTCCACAAAAAGATGTCGAAAACTTCAGAATGAAAATTATGAGGGCGTATTTTTATTTTCTCGTTTTTTAAAACTCTCCATCTTTTTGCCTCATCTTCAAATTTCAGTTGGAAATCTTGCAAGCAGAACTGAAGAATCACCTTTTCGTTCACATCCCGAGAATCGACGGGGACGGCACTGTCAGTTTCCAGCCTCTTGGTCTAATATTCCTCTGCTGTTTCTCCATCATTTTGCTCCTGCAGTTCGTAGGCATGTTCTCTCACAGGTAGGTCTTAACTCGTAGTATAGGGAAGGCTATTTCTGTGTTTTTGCGCGATGTTTTCTTTTGTGTGTGTGTGTGTGTGTGTGTGTGTGTGTGTGTGTGTGTGTGTGTGTGTGTGTGTGTGTGTGTGTGGAAGGCGGCTGAGGTCGAGAAAGGTTAGCAGCCCTTTCAGGTAGAAAAACAATAACAAAAACAAAAAACACCAACAGCAAAGCCAACACGACCGCCAGTACTGGAAGATGGTGAACCTTCATCACCGACCGAAGAGAGGAGACAAAATGGAGTGTAGAATGACGCAGGGTGGTGAAAGCCGAAAGGAAACCACCAAGTCGAGAAACCTCCTGTCGACCAGAAGAACCACCAGACTTGGCCCCTGAAATGTTCATACAATGTACGAGGCAGGGAAGGCACTGCAGGTTGAAAGAGAGATGGAGGCCTACCAATTGGACATATTGGGTTAGTGTGAGACGAGATGACGAATGCAGGGGAGTGCCAACTTGCTTCAGGGGAAACAATTCTCTATTCTGGACTTCTGGACGAAAACTCCCCACATGCAGAAAGAGTAGGTATTCTGTAATCTACACAGACCAAGCGGATTTTGATAGGATGGAAAGCAGAAGGTCTGCGACTAATATCAGCAGAATTCCGTTCTCAGAAGAAAGACATCAACCGTCATGTTATCCAGGGATATGCCCCCACCAGGACCAGGATGCGAAAGAGATTTTCTACAAAATGCTATTGATCAGGTTAAAAGGAAGGACATTTTGATTGTTATGGAAGACTTCAAAGCTAAGATTGGCTGTGACAATGTAGGCTTTGAGAAAATCATGGGGGAAACACGGACTGGGAGACAGAAACTAAAATGGAGAACTATTTGTGGAAATGTGAGCAACAAATGGGCTCATGATAGGAGGAACTGTTTTCCTACATAAACATGTACACAAAGCAGCATGGGAGTCTCCAGACCAACAAACTGAAAACCAGATTGACCACATATGTGTCAATAAGAAATTCATGAGATCAATAAGGGATGTTAGAGTTTACAGGGGTGAAGACGTAGCTTCTGACCATCATCTACTCATTTCAACAATCCGACTAAAACTAAAACAAACACAGGGGACTGTTAATCATAGGTGCCGGTACAACGTGGAATCTCTGAGAGAGCCATCATCAAGAGAGGAGTTTAAAGTAGCTGTTAAAAATAGGTTCCAAGCGTTGGAAACACTAGGCGAGGATAGCAGGAAGAGCGTGGAAGAAACATGGGAGGCAATAAAAGAAGGCTGGACCACTGTGTGTCAAGAGGTACTGGGGAAACGGAAATGTGAGCACAAGCCGTGGATATCTGCCACCACTCTGAGGAAGATAGAGGACAGAAAAAAAGAAAAAAGGATCAGGTAAACAGAAGCAAGACAAGAGCAGCCAAAGCAAAGGCCCTAGAAGAATACACCAAAGCACAGAAGAATGTAAACGTCAAAATACGGAAAGACAAAAGAAATTATGCCGATGACCTGGCGCACGAGGCAGAGGAAGCAGCAGGGGCAGGAAACACAAGAGGACTGTATGAAAACACCAAGAAACGTGCAGGCAGATACAGAAACGCAGATGTGCCAGTTAAGGATAAAGAGGGAAGGCTTCTCACAAATCCAGACGAACAGAAAGAACGCTGGAACGAGCATTTCAGAGAGCTACTGAACAGACCAAGGCCAGAAAAACAGTTTGACATTGCACCAGCAGAGATTAATCTGGAGGTGAGTGAAGAAAAGTCCAGTTTAGAGGCGATCAAGGAGGCGATAAGATACCCGAAAGCAGGCCTAGGCTGTGTGCCCATGTGAAGTTCCCCCCAGAAGTTCACAAGGCGGATATCGACACTGCGGCAGGGATTCTTTAAGGAGTTATTGGCAAGATATGGAACGGTGAAAAATTTCCACAGCATTGGAGACAAGGATTGCTTGAGAAACTATCCAAGAAAGGTGACCTGCATGAGTGTAAAAACTACAGAGGAATCATGCTCCAGTCCATTCCTGGGAAGAATTCAAGTCGTACCTTGCTGGAAAGACTGAAGGAAGAAGAGGATGTCAAACTAAGAGAGGAGCAGGCAGGATTTCGTAAAAAGAGATCATGTACAGATTGCAGCTCTGAGGATAATAGTGGAGCAGTCCACAATGTAAAACTCTTCCCTGTACGTTAACGTTGTTGACTACAAGAAAGCTTTTGACAGCCTAGATAGGGACTCAATATGGAAGCTCATGCGCCACTACGGAATACCTGACAGGTTCGTGAGATTGATCAAGAAGATGTCTGAGGTAATCAGCTGCAGTGTCTTACTTGGAGGGCAGCGGACAGACTTCAGAAGGGAAAACAGGAGTGATGCAGGGATGCCTGCTATCGCCTTTCCTCTTTTTTATTAGCAGTGGATGGAATAATGAGAGAGACAGCATCAGGACAACGCGATGGCATTCAGGGGACCTTTTCCGGTCAGTTGGAAGACTTGGACGACTTGTCACTTTTTTCTCATAGTCGATCCCAAATGCAACAGAAGACAGATCGCCTCAGGACCTTCTCCCGTAGTGTTGGACTCCACATTCATACGGATAAAACGAAAGTTCTTCTAATGAATGCAGCCGACGTTCCTATCACATTGCACCATTGCGGATGTTGAATCCTTCGCCTACCTGGGAAGTGTCATCAACAAGGCAGGGGGAACAGACGAAGACATTAAGGTCAGAATCCAAAAGTCCAGAGCAGCATTCACCGTCCTCAGGAATATATGGATGTTTTAGGAACTGGGATTAAACACCCTGCTGAGGATCTTCAAAATAAACGTGAAGACTGTTCTACTGTATGGTTCAGAGACATGGGGGCTCACAGCATCATCAGCAAGGAAACTGCAGAGCTTCATAAATGGATGTCTAAGAAGGATAGTGGTCTAAGAAGGATAGTGGGGATCAAGTGGTACGATCGAGTCACAAGCTGTGGGAAAGAACAAGCCAAAGGCCAGTAAAGGAAGATCTACAGGGGAAGAAATGGAAATGGATTGGGCACACCCTGGGGAGACCCCCGACAAGCATCGTCAGACAGGCTTTGACGTGGAATCTACAAAGAAAACGTAAGAAAGGAAGACCAAAGATGACATGGAGGCGAGCGGTAATAGCAGAAATGTAAATGGCGGCAACATCATGGAAACAGCTAGGAAAGATGCAGAGGACAGACTTCGCTGGAGAAATGTTGTTGATGGCATCTGCTCCACTGGGAGTTAAAAAGGGCAAGAGGGAGGGAGAGTGTGTGTGTGTGTGTGTGTGTGTGTGAGAGAGAGAGAGAGAGAGAGAGAGAGAGAGAGAGAGAGAGA